ATTAAAGGAGGGCTTCTGACCAGATTTGTGAAAAGGTTAACAGGCAAGTACTCATGACACTGTCTCCATGAGCTTTCTTGGAGGAACGGCTAGAGGAAGAAGTCAAGCAAACATGGGCACATTATGATGAAAAGAATGATGATACATTTTCAATCTATTTAATAGTTTAAAACTAGTTCAAAAAGAAGCCATTAAACTAGGCAAACAAAAATCAGCAAAAGAAACCAAACAAAAATTTGAGAACATGAGAACCATACAGTGAAAACACACGGTGCATGGTGATAAGAGACTGAACAAACACTTCTGGCAAATGGATCAATGGATTTGATTGACGGAATCAGATGGAGCCACAAAGAAAACAACCACAGATTGAAAATGGCTCTTTGATCCAGAGAGGTGAAAACTACAGTGGTCATGGGCTTAATCCATTCTGGCTGAATTTTGTACAGAAAATAGAATTTATGTGTCTAAACAGAAGCAATGTCTGGGCACAGTCTCCTGCTCCCAGAAGCCTGGCTACCTTTACAGTAAAGGCACAGGATGTCACACAGGAAACATAGGCAGCAATGTCTGGAAACACATTTATGAGAAGTTCTCTAAACCTTTTGGGCTATAACAGATAAACAGGCAAAATCAGGATAAAGGAAACCAAAGTAACAACAATAGGACTCTAATTGGCATCTTTTGGCCTCTATAACTTGAACAGAGAATACATTGCGGCCAAGCCAGTTATCCGTTCCCACTGCATATTTGTTTCTGTTTCCTTAGAAATAGGACTGAATTCTATGGGCTCTGACACCATGCAGCATGGAGGTATTGCAGGGCAGATGGTGGAGCCAGGGCACCCCTTTCAGGATGTTTTACAATACATAAAATCAGTGTATAGGTTAAAAAGAAAACCAATCATATGGAAAGTTACTAAAATGTATTTATTTTTTGAGGTACTAGGGCTCCAACCCAGGGCCTTGAGCACACTAGGCAGTTTACCTCTGCGCCACATCCCCAGTTGAAAGTTAGTCACTGAATCTGTGATGGATGAACTGTGCGTCCGTATTAACATATTAACAAAACAATTGATCTCAGTGTGGTGGAGGTGAATTACGTTTGCAGCAGACAGGAATTCTTTTTACTACCATGAGGGCCTTTCATTCCAAACAAGAGCTCCATCTCCTCCTGCCCGTTGGAGTGGAGGTGTCCGCTCCTCTGCAGAGCGTCTGCAGGGCTTCCTGACCACCCGACCCAGGCGTGTGCTAGGAAGCAACCTTTGTGGATACAACTGCAATACGGGCCCCTTCCCTTTTCCTGGTGTGTCGTCGGCCTCCGTTTCGCTTCTGGGTGGGTCTGCACTGCTGCCCAGTAAATCTACTCGTGAAGGACATCAGAGAATAAAAGCCTCAGCGTTGTGCTCATTTGGATTGTGGTCATTTAGAGTCTTAAGAAGAAGAAGGAGGAGGAGGGGGGAAGAACATAAATGGTTTAAGCATCCTGCTTAACTGCAAAAAACTAATGTCACAGTTTCTCTAAAAGTGGTTCTTTTTCGCCCTTTGGAATGGGCGAGAGTCCTGATTCTGCTTGGCAGATGAAATGCGTAGATTCCAGCGTCTTGGAGGCCCCTACAGGGCCAACGTGGTTGAACGCACAATGTCCACCAGGTGGCGCCCCACCACGGCTTGGCGTCGACCCTGCCCTGCGTCCCCACGCGATTCTAGTCGCTATTGGCTCCAGCAGAAGGAAAGTGATTAAAAATAACCTGCTAACCCACAGCCTCAGTTTTATATACGCTGTTTCTGATACTGTCCAAGGTGTTTATTTCTAATAAAGAAATTCCGTCCTTGTCAAATAGCACTCCGATATTACCGCCAAAATTTGACACAAACTGAAAACAAAGAAAGTAAAAACATGATTAATGCCTGCCACTTATTTGAGTGGAAAAGAAAAGGATGGACTGGTGGATGACAGGAAGGTAGTACCGGGGGGTAAATAAATGATAATGCAAGCATAGTAAAATATTAATTCTGGAATGCGGGTGGTAGGTACACAGGTATTCACTATGAAATTCTCACTTTTCTGTATGTTTGAAAATGCTTATAGTAAAATGTTGGCAGAGAGAAATAATGCTGGATTATAAAATACTTCAGGAAAGAGACAAACTAAAGGTTTATGTCCCCCTGACAGGCGTAGGTTGGAGCTCCAATCCACAGCATGACCGGATGTGGGCAGAGGCCACTCTGGAGGTAATGAAGATTAAGTGAGGTTGGAGAAATGAATACATAGAGATAAGGTGAAAGAATGTCTAGGGAGTGTCTAGGGAGAGAGTTAGTGGTTTTATAAGAAGAGACGCCCCCCTCCCCTTGTAGAACGAGGTGGCGGACGGGAGCAGAAGGCTGGGAAAGCAGCCTGGAAAGCGGCCCCTTCCGCTCTGCGGCCTTGGGCTTCCCACCCCGCAGCCCTGCCGGAAAGAAATCTGTGGCTTAGGCCATCCAGTCTGCGGTATTTTGTTTGGACAGAGAAAAAACAAGAAAATCTAGTCTTTTCAGAAAAATGTGAGTTAATAAATATTGAAGAAATAAAATCACCGTTTTAAACTCTCACAGTAATACATCATTTGAGTAGACGGTCACTCATGGAGGCCACACCGAGTAGCAGGTCTGCTGGACTCTGAGACAGCTGAGTACCGTGCACAGCTGGACATTCACACAGACCCGAGCCCCTCCTCGGGTCGCTTGCCGGTAAGTGTTAGGGTGGAGCATCTGCCCACGGTTACCGACCCCACTGGGGCTAAGCTGCCCCGAAGCTGGAATAAGGACCCTGACCCATCCTTTTTGTAGAATAAGTTCAGAGATTCATGGGCTCCTGGCACAGAAAAAAGGATTTTCAGGACTAGTCAGTAAGGGGCGTGGGAGAGTTTTAGTAGGCAGAAATCTGCAGGTGCACGCATAGAGGTAGAGGGCGCCCTGGAGGAGAAGCGTCGCTCTTGGAGCCTTTGTGTGGGGCCCCTGACCCACTCTGCGGGCCCTGGGGAGGACGCAGGAGCAAAACCAGGCAGAAAGGAGAGAGGAAATAGATTTTAAATTGTACTTTTAAGAGGGACTGCAGCTTCAAGACGCAAAAGTTACTCAAGCCTTTTTCCTTTCTAGGAATCTCACTCTTAAAAAAACTCCTACAGGTCCTTTTACAACAAGCGGTAATTGGGCTCTGGGCCTGTCCTCCTCTGCCCTGTGCACTGCGCCTCCTCCCCCTGCGGCAGGAGCAGCGTTGGCAGCCTTGGATCTGTCTTCAAAAGTGTGCACATGGCTGCAACTAACCACGCCCAGCTCAGGAGGAGGCTTGGGTTTTTGAAACAGGATCTCACTATGTAATTCAGGTTGGCATTGAAATCACTATAGAGCCCAGGCCTTGAACTTGAGGTGATCTTCCTGCCTCAGCCTCCTCAGTACTGGGATTATGGGCATGCACCGCCACACCTGGCTTATTTTTAAAATTTTTAATAGGTAATTTAAACATTCTTTGGATTCTCTCAGTCTGTTCCTTTTATTAGGTTCTTGCTTTTTCTTAATGAAGTCAATCTATGTGATTTGAATATTCCTGAAGAATTTTGGGTGCCACGTGTCTGGAAGAGAAGGAGCTAATTGGAGCAAGGGCATGCTGATATGGGTTGCCCTGGATAACTTCACCTGGTGCTAGCATTTGCAGTCTTCTTAGAAGTACAGTTTTTGGTTATGATCTCCTTGTCTCTGCTCTGCCTGTCTTCTGTCTTTTGATCCCACCCCATTACCGGGTCATCACCGACAGAGGGACCAAGTGTCGTTACACTGTGACTCGGGAATAACACACACACACACACACACACACACACACACACACACCAGCACCCACGCGGTGGTGCAAGTGTGTCCAAATCCAATCCTAGAAACAACCAGACGAACGCTACCTACAGGAGCCTTTCAATAAAGCATCTGATTGATCTTAATGTCGAAAAGTGTATGGTGGGACCTGCATGTGGCAGAGTCTGGGTGGTGGCACTGCCCAGACCCCTGCAAGGTGGCGCAGAGGACCCGAGCGAGGAGCTGGCGGGGTGGAGTTGGGGGTCATGTGGGTGCTGGGTACACACTGCGGAAGGGCTCAACGACCAAGACTTCCCCTTCACCAAATGCTGTCAGGCTCTTCTATGCCTGCTTCTCAATTTAGGCCTCCGTCTTGATCTAAAAACCCTGTAGACCCTGGCTAGGCGTGGTGGCGCACCCCTGCAATCCCAGCTCTCTGGGAGGCTGAGGCAGGACTGCTAAGTTAGAGCCCAGCCAGGGCAACCTAGTGACTTAGGGAGACCATGTCTCAAATTTTTAAAAAGGGAGGGGGTTGCAAAGGCCCTGCTTTTAATCCCTAGTACTAAAAAACAAAACAAAGCAAAGCAAAGCAAAACAAAACGTACACACAAACACAAAGCAAAACAGAAAAACCTGCCGCCTGTCAGCACAGACCGATGTTGCCCAGGAGCAGACCCAGCATGGCTCTTGCTAGCTGTGGGCTGGGGGGGCCTCAAGTTTGCCCCTGCCCACCCCGGGGCAGCTGGGCTCTGAGCCCCTTGGAGGAGCTTACCATCACGCATCCTGCCGCTGCCCCCGCACGCGCGAGGAGCCTCCTCTGCCACCCAGAACCGGCCTCGAGGCTCTTTGAAATGCACCATCCGAAAGCCCGGCTCTGTCGTCCTGAGGCTGCAGTGTGGAGGACCCTCGCTTGCTCAATGCCAGTTGGTAAATCCAGTGGGTGTCACGCCGCCCACCTCTTCCTGGTTGTTCAACTTCCACCCCTCCGGTTCTGACACGGACCCCTCCCTGTTTCCTCATTCACCTGTGTGCCGAGGTTGGCTCAGTCCTGCCAGCCCCACCCTGCCTCAGTGGCCGAACACTGTGCCAGGTGAGCCCTCCTTGCTGCACTGCGGTTCATCTCAGGCCTCGTTCTTTGACATTAACCCAATCTGGAAATAAGATCAAAAGATTTGGATTGAATTTCCCAAAATGACTGATTTGTAAAACTTCTATATAATAGGGTCTTCCCAGACAGGGGCTGGTCCAAGTCCTATAAACACAGAAGTGTCATCTTTTCCTCTTTTTGTTGAGTTGACGTTTGTGCTGCTCATTTGTACTTGACAGTGTGTTCAGCCTGGTTCTAATATCCCCTGTTGTTTCCTGTGTTTTTCTGACTCAGGCTGCTTTGTTTGACTAGAGGTCCTCCTATGAGGTTTTATTGTGTCCCTGAAGTTCACATCACAGCTTGGTGAGGCAAGGCCTTTGAGGTGAGTGGATTCACACCCTGTCGCCCAGTTCTTTGTAGAGAGAGTGGTTTATTGTCAAAGCGAGTCCCACGGAGTCCCGCTTGCTCTCCCACCCGTCTCCTCTTGCTGCCAGGGAGCCACGGGTGGGGCAGTGAGAAGACTTCACCAGGTGCCAGTGCATGACACTGGGTTTCCCAGCCTTCTGAAAGGTGATAAATGGGTCTCCACTGGGTGGGAGTGACTCCACTTCCCACGTTCTACAGTAGTGCCACAGAATGCACCGGCGTAGCTTCGTGCCTTTGACTTGCTGATATCAGCATCACTCTTCTCTTGTTTGATGGTTTATTGGTGGATTGATTGTGGTACTGAGGATTGAATCCAGGCAAACGGATTCATGCATGCTGTGCAAGTGCCCTAGCACAGGGGTACATACTTCCCCAGTCCTTTATTTTTAACTTTTTATTTGGTACTCAGGTCTTACTAAGTTGCCCAGGCTGACCTCAAACTTGCAATCCTCCTGCCTCAGCCTCTGGAGAAGCTGGGATTATAAGCGTGTGGCACGGTGCCTGCACTGTGCCTGGCTCATTGTTGGTGTCTGATTGTCCTGAATGAACTCAGTGGTTAATAAGTAAGTCCTGTAACCTTTCTGCTCCTGAGGGAGGAGATGAGCGCTGGGATGAGACAGGTTAAACAAATGTGAAAAGCCTGTCAGTCAGGAGACCCAGGGCAGAGAGCAACACACGGAGTCCAGAATGACTGCCGTCCTCACCGCTGCCATTCCATTCTTCATTTACATCTGCTGGGAGACCAGGGGCACCTTGGACACACAGCTTGGATCTGATGCTGGGCCAAGTGCGTTTCTGCCAGGATGACCATCCCAGTGCCTATTCTGCATGAGGGAGAAGCCAGCCAGGATTCGGGATACCGAGGCCCCCCCTCTGTCCTGGTAGTAGCTGGGAGTCTGCTCACCGCCCTCTCTCACTCTGTAGAGCGTACTTCTTTTCCATCTTCAGTAAACGTGCATCCTCGCCACCTTTTCTGTGCGTCTTGTTCAGTTCTTTGTTCAGGACACCAACGATCCAGAATCTCTTTGGGATCCTAAAGCTGGTAGCATTGCTGTAAAAAAACCCAGTCTTCCCTCTATATTAACTGCTTCCATCTTCTCCCATCCAAGAACTAACCAGGCCCAACCCTGCTTAACTTCCAAGATCAGACGAAATCAGGCACGTGCAAGGGGCTGTATCTGTAGACGCTGCTTCCGTGTTCTTACCTTAGACTCGCTCTTCAACTTGCTCCAGTTTGGCTGCGGTGCTTGGCACTCCGTGAACATCACTCATCTCAAAGTCCACGCCCGCTACATTGCTAAGTCCACCTTCCGCCCTGCACAGTGGACCACTTCCTCTCTGAAACGCTCCCATCCTCGGTTTCGGGGCTACCACACTTTGCTAGTTTCTCCTTCCACCTAGACTGCTTTTGTCCCACTGCAGCCTCATCACAGCTTTCTACTCCAACTTGCATGTTGTAAACAGGCCTGGGCTCTGGCCTAAGTGCTCCTATTAATTCCTCCAGTCAATACTCTCCAAGGGCTGGCTGTAGAGTAGACTGTGCGGAATGCTGGGGTTTATATATCTGGCCCTTGTTCTCAGGGAGTTTAGAAGAAAAGCTGTGAACTCTAAACTATCAAATGGGTTCTCTTGTTATCATCGTGATAAGAACTATGTCCAGGGTATTATTGCTGCAGATAAATTGGAGTGAACTTGGCTGTATTTAAAATTCCAAAAATAGAAGCTGTTTAGTCATGGGAAACTGAAAATGCTCGCACCAGCAAATTATCTTCCTACAGGTGAAGAGAAAATAAACAAAGAAATAATCCCTTTGAGTCTGTGAGGCTAACATTCTTACCTCTTATTTCCTTGTCTGATTTGTTTTCCATAGGCCAACCCCAAGTCTGTCTGAAGGGAACAAAGGTCAGACTACAAAGTGGTTATAGGTTGCTCTGTTTATAAAAATGCTTTCACCTGGCTAGCACTGAGAGCACTTCTGATCCTCAGAGCTGGACACTACGAAACTTTACATGTTATGTAATATTTAAGGCATACAAAAAAGATATGAAGAATACAACCACAGCTGTCTGGGAAGCACGTCAGTCAGGTAACAAGATGACTTATTTATAAAATTAAGGTTAAGAAGTGTAACCTCAGCTCCTTGCTGCAGTCTGTCTCTGGAAGAAGGAGAAGTAGAGGCAGGGTCAGGGGACATGGGTCATTGTTCATGAGCTCGTGCATTAAACTCACTTATGCCAAAGGTTGCAACTTCTTGATTTTTTGCATGAAATTCATATATGCTACCTAGAAAACTTCAAGGAACTAGAATTTGAAGAGAAATTTTTAAAATCATGTTCCGTTGTTTGTGGCATTCCAAAAATGGAATACTAGATATAAGTGGGTTAAATAGATGCAAATTAATCAGAAACACATGGTATAAATTTACAGCAGGTACAAAGTTTAAGAAAAGTGGTTGCTCAACTAAGAATGGGATCCAAATACCCCAAAACTTCTAAAAAATAATTTGCTGATGTTCTTTGTAGAGACATAGACATAGAACCCCCTCACCCAGCAGGTCAAGGGACACAGAGGCCCTGAGGCTCCACATTCTGCTGATGTGGTAACAATTCAGACCTGCGTGTGCCTCTTTCACGGGCTCCACTTCAGCGGATTCAGGGTCTTCATAAGGAGAGATGCGTTTCACAGGTGGATTTCCAATTCAGTTTGGCCTATACCAAAAATAGCATCCCCAGTAAAAGGTTTAATTAATAGTTGCTGATACTTGAGCATTTGCTGGGTGCAAGTGTTTTACATTAACTTCCAAATAATCCTATGCTGCGAGGCATTATTTTACCTATTTGGGGATGAGAGAACGGGGAGAGAAGTTAGGCAACTTGCCTACATGGTGGACCTGGCAGACCCAGGCAGTGCGAGTCTGGAAACTCAACTCTTACGTGGAGGAACCTATGTTTTGTCCTCCTCATACCCAGTATATGGCTTTCAGCTTTCCCACCCAGGACACCTTGTCCTTTCTTCTGACCTTTCATTCAGAAACTCCTCAGTGGCTTCCCTTTTCCTCCTTCCCCTTGACAAGAGGCCACTGGCTGTCTCCAGCCAAGGTCTCAGCCACACAGTACAGTCAGTACCCGGAGCCTTCAGGTAGTCTCTGCTGTTCCACCCAGGGTTTCCCAATCCTGCCTTCCTCTTTCCTGACTCACTAAGGCCTTGTGCTTTGCAGGGGAACAAGGAAGTGGTGAAGTGGGCCAACAGGAAGCCGACAGTTGGTGGTTCCCAGAAACGCTCCCCATGGGACCTTGCCCTCCTGCTGGGTCCAGCTGGCCCCGTGTGTAATCACACCTTCCTCCTCTCGTGTTTCATCTGCATGGCTCTGGGCCTTAATGAAGCACTTTTTCTTTCAAACCTGCCCACATTAGACCAGTGTTCACCAACCAACTTCCTCCTTCCAAATGTTCCTGAACCGATGGATTCTGGCCAATGAGAAACTCAGTGCCCAGTCACTTTAATTAGAAAAATCAAAGTTCTTTAAAGGTAACAAAGCTGTAAAGTGGAGCACGAAGACGGAAGTAGGGCTGTGTGGTTTGTATCCTCCCAGTGGCCAGAGTGAGGAACTGGGGGCCCATAAGGGCACAGACTTGCCCATCCTGGCCCTTTGGGGCTATGGCTGTGTTGTAAGTAGCTCTGCCACATATTAATGGGCTGTTTTCCAATTATGCTTCATGCAAGGCTCTATGCCATTACTTCAGTTATCACTCTTTATAATTTGGCTGGTAGCTTATTCTAGAATGTTCCTGAGCCCACAGAGTATAGAAATTTTGTTTTAAACCTAAACTAATCATTGCTCATGGGTTCTTGGGGCCAGGGTTTTGCAGTCAGTAAAGTGCTTGTGGTAAGTTGAGAACTGGCGTCTGTTTCTCTTCACGACTGCTCAGGCCTCTCCTCTGCAGGATGTTGAATCCTCCATATAAAATGTACTGTGGAATAATTCTTGAAACAGCAGCTCAGGCAATTATATCCTCTGTGCTCTACTGAGAACGCCTCTTCTACCTAGCACAGAGTAGTTGTTCAGTATAATTTGTTGAAGGAAGGAAGGAACAAAAGCTTACATAGAATGCTCATTTGGAACATTTGGGAAGTAGAGTGAATCCTTGACCTCCAGACGGGGTGAAATTACCTCTTATGCCACAGACAGCACTTTTCACCTGCTGTGCTGAGCTAGTTTGCCATTGTTTAATTTTAACCAAGGAGTAGGTGTTTCCAGACGTAGCATAATGCCTGGCACGATGTCCAAGCTCAGTATATTTCAGGTGACTCAGTAAATGTCATGCTTTATGTCAAACAGTTTTGGCTCTCAGAGGAAAAGAAAAACAAGGAAGTTAAAGAGAAGACTGAGGCTTCCTGCCTCAACCATTCCTGGCAATTGGACTTTCTTCCTGATCACCCGCTGGAGGGTTCTTAATCATGTAGCTCAGGTCTCTCTTAATGAATATCTGCCTTCATTCACCTTCAGAGGGCACATGACACGCACACCATCCTCCTCCTCCTTTCTTTTCCTCTCTCAGGTAAAAGAACAAAGCATTTGTCATCTCAAGGCTACAAGTAGTTTCTGGGTCAATCACCTCGCCAGTTATGGGGAGGAGTTAGGTACTACCCAGATCCACAGTGCTGGCTTTGAGTACTATGCTGTACTTGGTCAGCCTGTGCCTCCAATCTGCACCAAACTTCTAGGGAAGACTAGACATCTGGGGTTCATGCTCACAAAATTATATATATGTATAGTATATAGTATATAAATAATATCTATTTATTTATTTCCACTTCTGATTTTTTTTTTTTTTTCCAGTTTGACTGGCAACACCTCAGCTCTTGTCCAGGCCTAGTTTCTCACACTGAGAGTGTCTGGGTGAGAAGGAGTAGCCACATGACAACACTCTGAAAGGTGTCCTGCTCAACTCTTCATTTACAACTCGCGAGGGACCAGGTGAGCCTTGGATACACAGCTTAGATTTGATGCCAGACCAAGTGCGTTTCTGCAGGACAACCATCCCAGTGCCTATTCTGCATGAGGGAGAAGCCAGTGAGGGTTTGGGATACCGAGGCTCCCCCTCTGTCCTGGTAGTAGCTGGGAGTCTGCTCACCGCCCTCTCTCACTCTGTAGAGCGTACTTCTTTTCCATCTTCAGTAAAAGTGCATCCTCGCCACCTTTTCTGTGCGTCTTGTCCAATTCTTTGTTCAGGACACCAAGGACCTGGAAAGAATCTCTTTGGGACCCCAAAGCTGGTAGCACTATGGATAGACCTATGCCAAAACATTCAATAATTCTTAAAAATATACAAATTACCTAAACTGCTTCAAGAAAAAAATGTAAATCTCAACAGGCCTATAGCAAGATGGGTTTTCAATGAGTAATCTCAAAAACCTACCAAAAAAGAAAAATCCAGAAGGGGAAAAAACAGTTTAAAAAAGAGGAAAAAGAAAAGAAAAAAGAAAAAAGAAGAGAGCTAAAATAAGGAATGAAAGAGGGAACATTATACTGGTCTTAGGTAAATAAGCCTGACGTTGTTACTTTATTTTTAATTTTGTGGCATACATATGATGGCCAGGTACCTCAAGAATGAGGAGATTGGATTTCTTTCTTTTTTTCTAAACTACAAAACCAAAAGCTATGCCCTTACTTGAACCATCCAATACCACCACAAGTGGTTGCTGAGCACTGAAAATGCCACTAGTGTGACTGAAGACTTGAACTTAATTTTGACTAACTGAAATTTATTTATTTATATTTTATTTATTTATTTATTTATTTTTCTGGTTGTGGGAATCAAACTCACAACCTTGTGCTTGCCAGGCAGGCACTGTGCCGCTGAGCTAAATCCCCAGCCCCTAACTGAAATTTAAATTGAAAATCAGACACAAGATTCATGTTTCAGAACAGATTTAAGTATGTTTAGAATAGCTTGCTTATAAATCTTCTTTTTTTAGCTTTGAGTTTTTATGAAATTTAAAAGCAGAGCAAGTATTTCCGATAAAAATTTAGTATTTATACTTGTTATACCTGTATAAAATACATGTATGGTATAAATACAAAATACACAGTAGATTTCAAAGACTTGGTCTGAAGCAAAGGATGCAAAATATCTCATTAATTTTGATATGTTAAGTTAAATAAGATATAATAATTTTATAATCAGCCATGCTTGTTTCATTTTATAGTTTTGATGGGACTTGTAGAAAAAAGTTTAATTACGTATGTAGCTCATGTGGTATATTTGTTAGACATTTCTGCCTTTGCCCTCTGCAAATTGTCTGCATATATCTGAGTTCCTGACAATTTCTTGTATTCTTTTCAGTGCCTACTTGCTGATAAGTGAGGGCTACTCTTGTAAAGGAAACAACTGCAGCAGTATTTAAATGAGGGAAAAGCTAAGTTCCTCAGTCCTTTTATCCCAGTGTCATGGAAGGGACTTGGGGTAGAGGCATCTAGTCTCTTGTCTCCTAAAAATAAGTGTAGGAACAACCATGGGCATATGAGCAAAGCGGAGAATATGCATTTTTAAAAATTTCTTTACACACACACACACACACACACGCACACGGATTCCTTCACAAAGCAGGTTATTGTCACACGTGTTCTGTGTTTTAATTCACCTGTGGCAAGGCCAGCTCCAGCCCATGTGTCCTGAGCTGTGGACACTGCTCACAACCCCGGGGATATTCGTACTGCCCCTCTCAAGCAGTGTGTGAAGGAGAGACCGTAAGCTGCCTCTTTACTTTGCAGCATTATTTCCAACCACAGAATGTTCACATTCCAAGTGTCGGGCTGAGAAGTCTGCCAGGGCTCCAGCAGGTTTCCATTCCTATGGGGCTCACACTCACTCCATCTCAGCGCTGACTTCCACTTCACAGACTCTCCAAACCTGCCCAGCTGGCTCACCAGGCAATGCACCCAGTCATACAGCCTCCTTCCTATTGTGCAGTGGAGGCCCAGCTCCTCAACTGAAGACTTTCACAAGATTTCCCTAAATGGGTTCCACCCAAATGACTTCAGAGAACCAGCCTCTCAGCCTCTGAGGCCACCAGGGCAGGGTTGATGCTTGTTCATGGGGAGGAGGGAACCTGAGCTAGATTCTAAAGGATATTTCTTAGTAAAAGTATTCTTTCAAAAACTTGCCTGAATCATCACCTTTAGAGGTTCTGAGACATCCCTGCTGTCAGTCTCAATTCTCTGTCTTCTCTGGGTCCTGCCTCACCTCCTCTGAGTTTGGAAAAGTATTTCAGTTGTCTTATTCGAAAAAACCTTACCCTAAATATGGACATGTGACACATATTTATGGAGTGGGGAAAATTTTTTTAAAAAACTGATGATGAAATAATTGGGTGTCCACAAGAGCCCAAAACTCTTGACTCTATCTTATATAATTCCTTACACTTAATTTCAGGGGACTTAATTTCAGGGGAGACTAGAGACCTTGAGGTAGAAAGATGCTTTTAGAAAATATGGGAGAGATCTGGGCATGGTGGTGCATACCTGTAATCCCAGTAGTTGGGAGGATGAGGCAGGAGGATTGCTGTAAGTTCCAGGCCATTCTGAGCTACATAGTTAGTCATGTGCTGCACAGTGATGCTTTGGTCAACCACTAAGTACATCTGTGGTGGTGGCCCCATATGCTATGAAGGAGCTGAAGAATTCTGATTTCCTGGAGATGGTGTAGGTGCTGTGAGGTTGTAGTGTGAGGTATAACTAGTGTTTGTGGTGGTGCTGGTGTAAACAAACCTTCTGCACTGCTAGGTGTAGAACACTATAGTACTTTACACTTGATAATGCTGATAAATGACCCTGGCTGGTTTATGTATTTACCACACTGTATTGTTTATTGCTACTTTAGAATATACTCTTTTGTGATGCTACATTGATGGTAGTGAAGCAGAGGATTAGAGTGTGGCAAACTGGTTGGGCAAGTGGGTGTGGCCTGTAGCTCACAGTTCCCAAAGCTCCTCACCTGGGACTAATCACAGAGTGCTGTCTTTAACTCTTCTTGCAAGAACTTGAGCAGGTTCTCGATAGGATGGCCTAGATCTTATCCAGTCTGAAGAGTGGGTGATACAGACAGCTGCTGACCAGTGGGGGCCACTGTGAAATCAGTGCTGCTCCCTGCAGTTGCAAAGGTGCACCTCTTTTCTTACATTTCATTGGCCTGCACTCACTCTTCAGAGCATATTCCTGCCTTTTTCTACCTTTAAAAAATGTAAAACCTTGCTAACATTTTAGATTTGACCAATGCTTTGTTCAAGACAAGAAGAATCTAGAAATCGCTTCTAGAAGGAGACCCCAGCACCTTAAAACCCAGGGACAGAAGCCACATCAAGTGGTTGGCCTGCATCACCTAGGTTTGTGTTAGTTTGCCCTATGATATTTGCACAGCAAGGAATCACCTAAGGATGTATTTCTCAGAACACTTCCTGCTGTCAATGTATGATGGTTCTGCCACACCAGAATGGCTGAAATGAAAAGCCAGTTGAATAATGGTGAAGACATGGAGGAGGAACAGGAGCTCCCACTCTGCTGATAGAGGAGTGAAGTGACACAATCCTTTAGGAAACCAGTCTGGCATTGTTCCAGTGACCTAGCAATTCTACTCCTGGAATGACTCACAGTAAATCATAAAGCTTCTTCTCTCAGAGCACATTCAAGGGTATTCATAGTTGCACTGTAGAAATGCCAAAAATCTCAAAGGACACAGATGTTCACCAATGCTAAAATGTATTGACCATGGAACATTCAAGGGACAGAGCACAAGGCATCAAAGAACATGGGTGAATTGCAGTTCCAGAAAACACCATGAATGAATCTTAGAAAACTGAGCAAAAGAAGCTGGGAATGAAAGAATTCATCCTACTTAATGTCATATACATTTAAAAATAAGCAAATAATATATTTTACATATCTTTGGTTAGATAAAGTTTAAAAGCAGCACAAGTGCTGCTTGAGGAATAAAGATGAGCCTAGAAGTATTTTCTATAGAGTAGGGATAGTGGACAGCCCTAGGAAGCTCCTCCCGGGAGAAGGCAGTAGTAGCTGGGAGGCATGGCAATGCCCTGTTTCCTGACGTGGGTGGACGCTAGCTTCCTCAGATGGTGCGTACTTGGTTTTATGTGCTTTCCCCAAACCCTGTGCGATCCAGAAGCCCTGGCCTTTCCAGGTTCCCCCACAGTAGTGTTCTTGGCCATGCTTTTGTTTATCTCTCTTGTGGTGGGTTCCTAAAGAAGCTCAGATGAATGCAGAATATGAGCTTTTCTAGATTATCTAGACCTTTATCCAGATGTACGGAGTCACCCAAATTCCAACAGGCCTCAAGTGTAATACATTCTCTTCCTTGTTCTAATCTTATTCCTAGATTTCCTGTCTAAACAGAGGGAATCTCTTCCATGCTGACATCCCAAGCTAGAGACATTGACTCCTCATTCTTTTGTCTGCCCCAGTACTCGGGTCACTGTTAACGTGCTCACACTGTGTGCCAGGGCCTGGTTTTCACAATATACACTGTGTTACATCTACTCTTTTGTACGGCAGTTCATTTCCTTCCCTTGACAGCTCTGACATAGGTAACATCATCATTCTACCTTATAGAGGAGAATGTGAAGGTGCAGACAGCAGTGGCACCTTCAGTATGCTGACCCTTTGGTACAGCCTGTGTCATTGGAGAACCTCCACGCCAGCAACAGCCTTACTCAGGTGGTGTTTTCTACAAAATTTTGCCTGTTCCCCGTATTTTACACATCTCTCTAATTTCATTCAAAATAGAGATTCCTCTGCCTTTTTCTTCTCATCTGAGAGGAGATCTCCTCCATAACCTCTGGCTGCTGTGAGATGATACCCACAGTCCGGCAGAGAGAGAGAGAGAGAGAACCATGGGCTCACGAGACGTTTGGCATCATGTATTACTCGTATTGAAAGACTTCACTCGTTTACCAAGTTATTTGTTCAAAACATTTACTCATCCTGCAGAACACTCAGGGAGCAAGTAACTCACAATCCAAGGTTTTACTGTACTGGGAACTGAAGGCAACTGAGCAGAAGCAGATGCAGAAGGCAGTCTGCCTCTCCCGTCTTCCTATAGGCAGGCACAGAGTTCCCTCCCACAAGAAGCCCTCATCCCAGACAGGAAGAACAGCTCCGACCCCAACAAGGCAGGGGTACTGAGATGAGCCTGCATAACCTGCTTTAACAACAGGCACCTGCACTGCCCACCAGATCCTCCTTACACTTCCTGTTCACCGGCTCAAAATGTAATTGGCCCTAAAAATGTCCAAACCTCTTTTCCTTCATCTCATCACTTATCACAGTGTATTTCCCTTCTTTAAAATGGTACATAAACTCCGAAGTTTAACTACTGCTTTGAGTTTTTCACTTTTCTGTCAGGGCCTCATGCATGTGAAATTTAAATTATTTCTGAAATTTCTATGTTTTTCCTCTGTTAACTTGTCTTTTATCACTGATTCATAAGGCTTGGGAACTGGAAAGTTTTCCTTCCTCCACACTTACAAACTGTAAGAAGGGCAGTATCCTGACTGGCATACAGGCTGGCACACTGGGCCTCAGGGAGGGTACAGGACTTGTGGGTGGAGAAGTCACGACTTGTATCAAAGATCTTTCACAAGTCTCTTTCTTTGTCAGCACTTAAAAGCTCTGTTTTGCTCAGCTATGACCACAAGGCCCAAGAGGGAGACACCACTCATGTGGACCTTATCTCTTTCCCAAAGCTCTCAAGCTGAGTGGGTCAGGACGGGAAGCACAAGCAGGAGCAGCTCCCAGAATCTCCATTCCACACCTGGTCAGAATGGCCTGGCCTTTTTCAGCGCTGAGGAACACACAGCAAGTGCTGTGCCACTGAGCTATACCCCCACCCCTGCTGATGTTTCTGACAGGTTCCTTCTCAGGCTGTGCCCACCCCTGGCTGGAGCATTAATCACGCAGTGAGCTTTGGCTGACGACTGACTGGTTTGCATAAACCAGCCACTCTGGGGAAAGCACCTGGGCCACCATGGGGTGGAGGCTGTGGCACCTGGGTTCAAGAAGGAAATCCGGAGCACTAAATCCAACCAGAACCTGAATCCTCGTTCTCTGCCTTTCACCAGTTCTCTGGAAAGGTGCCTGCAGGTAAATACTGCAACTGCTCTAGTGCTGTGAGCCGCAGGGGAGGAAAGGAAGGAGAAGGCCGTTTTGTTTCTGAGTGACAGAGCAAATTCGGATCAACAGAGGTCCGGAAAAGAGACTTTTCAGGTTTGTCAACCCAGAAGAGCCCAACGAGGAAAAATAATGGGCTGAAAATGTACCTTCAAAATGCTTGAGAATCCCACTGCTTTAGCCAAGAAAGTTGCCAAGGAGCAAAGAAGGAGCATTGTTTCTCTTTACTTTGCCTCAATCGGAGAAGAGAATGCTGCTCACCTGGAAGCCGGTGTTGTGGTAGCCCCCCACTCCGAGGGCCGCAGGATGTGTCAGCTCCATGTTCTGTTCTGCTGTCTGGGATCCGAATGCCTTTCCAAGCTCTGAGCAGACGTCCTCCTAGCAAAAGAACACAGCCTCTGCTGATGTCACGGGGCCACCTGCAGCTGGGGAGACCTGGGCATTGCTTCAGTTTGGAAACTTCTCAAAGACGGGCTGGCACCAGGTTGGGGTGGGGCTGGAGGGGCTGAGGGGCGGGACAGAGGCCTCTAGGTGGCCCGCCCTCCACAAGCACCTTTCCAATCATTCCTGTGGCTGGCTTCTCCTTTCTCCTGGAGAGAAAACTTTGGTAGTGTACAACAGAAAAATGACTCTTTCTCTATGGTCCACAGCGAAATAGTCTGTTTCTGTGGATGCTGTAGGGGACCAGGATGGTACAGGGGGTTGGTTCTCATCAAGTGCTTTCTGTCTGGTGCCAAGCATGTTAGGCTCAGTATATACAACCCCAGGTTCTATCTGGAGAAATCGAGGCTTAGGAAAGTTCACACTTGTTCAATCAGTTAGGTGATAAAGGGACGATGAGTGTCAGGTTCAGGCCTGGTCATTCCAAAACCTTTTACTACATTGATACGTCAAGCTGAGTGGCTTTCAGAACCCAACTTACAGCAGTGTAGAGAACTGGCAGGTAAATGAAGGGTGACCAACCGCTCACTTAGTAAAAGGAGTCTTTGTTGTATGAGTTAGCTATAGAATTCTCTCAAAATAGGGATTTACCCCTCCAATGTTTAAAATGAACTACTATGCATCTAGTAATTACCAGAATTGTGTGATTTCTGTGAAAACATGGAAAATGCTTATGATAAATGAAAAAGTAGAGTGCTATAATTTGATAGTGTAAAACAATCGAAAAAGTAATGGAAGAAAATACCAGCTCTTACTAGTGTTATTTCTTGGTTGTGGCTTTTATGGGTGGTTGTTATTTTCTCCTTACTTTTGTGGAATTTTATATAAAGTGTATGACTTCTACTAATATGATATATACTGCTTATCAAGGTGAAGGGTGCATAGTCTGGGTTCAAAGCCTGGCTCTCTGTCTTCATTATGGGGAATTACAGCTTCAAAGCCAAATCTAGCCCACTGCCTTTTTTTAACCTGACCCAAGAGCTAAGAATAAGAATGGGTTTTAGATTTCTAGGTAGTTGAAAAGTAATCAAGAGGAAAATATATGACAAGTGAAAATGATAAGAAATTTGAATTTTAGCATCTCGGAATAGAGTTCAGCGTGGACAGAAGACGCCATGCACTTGCGCATTGTCTGTGAGAGCCACCTTCCCGTGAGGGTGGAATGACAGAGACTACAGCTCACATCTCAACTATCGATGCCCTGGCCCTGTGCAGCAATAGTGTGCTGCCCTGAGTCAATCCACAAGTGAGCCAGGCAGGTGACCTTGCTCCCTGCGCCTTGGTCCACCATGGAATGAACTAACTGTCTTGGAGGCTTGGAGATACCGACCCTGGGGAGTTTGTGTGTGAGCTGCAAGGCTGTTTCCTCTCACCTGGTGCAGGTGGGTTGAGCCTGGCAAGAGTCGGCAGCAAGCTGGGGGAGAGCAAAGGCTTTTAAGGAGAAGTGGTTGCCAGGCAGGCAGAGGTGGTTGCCAGGCATTGCAGTGGGTTGTCAGGTGTTGGTCTGAGGGGTTGCTGTCTTGAGGAGTCCGGGGCAGAGATAGTGTGACCTGCTTCTTGGGTGGCTGTGTAGATGTACCCAGGCTTCCTGGGACAGAGGGCTGGGACACTGTGCTCTGCAATGGTTTTTCCTGGGGAGTGTAACCCTACCAGTGCCAACGTTAAAGGACTGCTGGGTCGATAATATGAGTTACCATGTATACTCAGAAACACTAGACCGCGCCCGACACATAGTTCAGTACTGCCCAAACTTTCCTTGGGTTTGAGCTCTTCGGTGCTTCTATTGATGAATAAGACTTGGGGATTTCTCTTAGTTCTTCCCCATAATGCAGTATGACACGATTAGTAGCACTGTGTTGCCAAAAACAAAAAGTCTAAACTAGAAGTGGTTGAGACAGATACAGATAAACAAAAAGTAGACATGTGGGAAACTGACCGTGAAGCTGAAGAAACAAATGCTGTCCCCTGTTCTAACCTCTGTGAATTTAAGGCTCAATCTAGTGTAAGGTTGTGATCCTTACTTTCTGGAGGAAAAGAGAAATCTTCGTTCCACCATTTGTGGTTATAATCACAGAAACTTGGTTTCTGACAGTCTTATAGATACCTCTCAAAATGCAATCCCATGTGTTTTCTGCCCACTGATGGTAGGAAAAAAAAGGTTGAGCCAGGTATGGTGGAACACATCTGTAATCCCAATACTTGAGAGGCTGAGGCAGGAAGATTGCTGCAAGGTTGAGACCAGTCTGGGCTACACAATGAATTCAAAACTGTGCTGAGCTACATAATGAGATCCTGTCTCAAAAAAAATTTTTGTTTTGAGATTTTGGAAAGAATGCAAGGATCTTTGAGAGAACATCATTATGCAGCCCTGATAAAAAGCTAGAGCAGCTTCCTCTCCTTTCTCTGACTATAGCAGCCACAAGGGACAGAAACCCGAGGAGAGTATACTGTGCACACAGCCATGACCCTAAAATGCCAAACAGTGGCCAGATCCAGAGAAAGCCCAAGTTAAAATGCTTGCATTCAAATTTCAGACTTCTTTACAGCACCAGAATTAATATGATGGATGGGGCTATCACTTAAAAGGGTAGAACCCAGGGGCATACCTGGGTGGCTCATTTTCCTAATTTGGAAGTAGACAGTGTGATTGGAAAATAAAGTAAAATGCCTTTCAATTTACACGCCTGCGTTTGAAGTCATTCTCCAGTTGTGCAGTCATTGCTCACAAGGACCAGCTCGTGCCAAGGCTGACGCAGCTATCTCTTCACACCTCTGAGCTTTTTTTTGCCCTTCAATCTTAGCTTTAAACTTGGAAACTATTGCATAGCAATTAAGCAACTGGGCTTTCTGTCACATAATTCTTGTATACTATTCCATCCTTCAAGAGTTGACTTATAGAGAACTCACTGGTCCTGTGTACATAGCTTGTTATTTACATTCTGGCTTTTTGAGACAGGGTCTTGTTATGTAGTTCAGGCTGGCTTTGGACTTACTAGTTAGCCTCAAACCAGGTTAACCTCAAACCCATGGTGATCCTCCCACTCAGACTCCAAGTGCTGGGATTATAGGTGTGTGCCACCACAGCCGGCTAACATCTCAGTTTATTGAAAAAAAGTAAGAAATAAATATGTATATGGTAAGGGATTGCCTTTCTTGTCTTAATGCCTGTAGTTTTATAGTGAGATCATTCTTTGTGACAATATTTCCAAGAGGAATCAAATAAAATTTTAAAAATTGCATATACCATCTATCCTATGTTGAGAGTGGTATACAATATGTTACAGTATGATTATTATTTCCACTTCCTGTCCTTTCTGAAGAACATTTCATGTGTTACACATTGCCATTCATATATATGCTTGAAACTGTTTTATACATAAATCAAATCATATTAATATCAACAATATTGATATTAAAAATAAATAATAAAAATGTAATCCTGAGTGGCTTACAAGTTGGTTTAATTTTTCAGATCACTCAAAGGAAAAGAAAAAGCAATATAAAAATGTACACTCATGGCTGGACGTGGTGGCACATGCCTGTAATCACAGCACTTGTGAGGCTGAGGCAGGAGGATCGTTCCGAGTTTGGGCCAGCCTGGGCTAAAAAGTGAGCTCAAGGCCAGCCTGAACTGCATAGCAAGAC